TAGTTGCTCAGGTTCCTGTGGCTGGAACTCCACCTGCAGGCCAGAGAGGGCGAAGCTCAACAAAAGGAGATTCTGTTACTGGGCACCACCAAGGGATTACATTTTTATCAGCCTTACAATCAGTTTGCAGCTCCTTTCTAGTCCATTTTGGTGGCTTTTTGCATTCAGGTTCTATCATTCCCAGATTCTACTAGGAAGGTATATTATCAGTAACCAACTTCAAAGTCTGTCCTACTTCAAACCATTGGTAGCTTTGGGTGACCAACACCAGCAGTTCATTTTCATCCCTTTTATTAGAATTGTCTTTTTCTTTCTCAGTAATGCAAAGAATGAGTTAGGAGTCATGTAATTGTTTACATTTCTGGTGTTAACTACACTATTAGTGGAAGTTAGACAATTCACTTTCTAAAAATATTTATAGAGCCTAAATAGCAATGCTTATGTATCTACAGTTCATTTCAAGAACAGGATACAGTATTCCAACTACGCTGAAAGCACTGTACGCATGTAGCCACAGGAGACATCACCTTTCTAGAGGCTAAGTGTAAGATTCAATTGCCTTCAGTGTATAAGAACCATGCTATGATGCATTTTGTCTCTTGGCTCAAGAATCACTTGTGTTAGCACAAAAACCTTTGGAAACCAAAGCACAAATTAAAAGTTTCAACTAAACTTTCCCATGCCCAGTTAGAGCAACCTATGCATCTTCTTTCTATGTAGTCATGACCAAAGCCCATGGTATTCATGGGTCTCATCAAGATCAGATACAAATGATCATTGTTACTGTTAACAATAAGCAGTGGTGATAACCTATAAGCCATGGTCATATGTCAACCTAGTAAATCTCTTCATTGTTTTAACCATGGTGCTGTGTAGACATTTGAGCAAAAGTTCTCATATCAATGTCAGACGCTTTGGAATTAACCCTGACAGAACAGATAGCTCCACCCCAGTGCACTGGTCTTTTTAAAGTGCAAAGATTTACTTGGAAAGCCTTTCATCTTTAAGTAAAAGCTGCTCAGAGAATGGTGTGATTTCATTAGTAATCTTATCACACGTACCTTGCTTTCTGGACAGGAAAAATCAGCAGACGAATAGCAGTTCTTTGATCATTACCAGATATTGACACAGTGTCCAAGTTGTAAGCACCATAATCAACTTTACTTGTTTCTGAAGAATGGTATCTTCTGCAACCACTTTTTTTGGTGGTACCAAGGCTTGAACTCAGGACCTTGAGCTCTCTTGACTTGTTTGCTCATTGTTGGCACTCTATCACTTGAGCCACACCTACTCAGGCTTTTTGCTGTTTAACTTGGAAATAGAGTCTTAGGGACTTTTCTGCCCAGGCTGGCTTCAAAACACAGTCTTGAAAATCTCAGCCTCCTGAGTAGCTAGAATTATAGGTGTGATCCACTGCCAGCCAGCTCACCCACCTTTCTATAGACACCTCTATGGGAAAGCAGAAAACCTAGGTATTAGGCCATAATATCCAGAGCAAGTCTCCTTAACTTTGGTCAGGTTCTCAACTACAAACCTGATTTAAAGGTGCTTTCTAGTTCTAAAAGTTTATGGTGCTATAAAGGCCAAAAGAAAACAAAAAACCAAAACCACCTTTCTCAACATATCATTTGTGGCATCCTTATAAAGATCTTGAGTAAATAGAGAGGACAGTAGACACAAATGGCATCTCAGGAAACATTAATGGGATTCTTGTGCTAAGAGGACCTGCCTAGCAAGTGTAAGGCCCTGAGTTCAAATCCTAATTCCATCAAATACCAGAACAGCAAATATTTTAGAAATCAAGAGTATATTTCAGTACTTAGTTTTTAAATATTGCTTTAAAAAATATATCCCTTATTGGAGGAGATTGATGAAAGGGGTAATACCAATCAATATGCATTTTATTTATAAACTGACATGTTAAATGGTAAGCCCTTGTACAGCTACTTAAAGATTATATATGCATAAATATATACTTAAAGATTATATATAAAATATCACTTAGTGAATATATACACACATATGCACACACAATATGAGTTACATGTATTTTAAATGTAAATTCCTAGCTGAGGCAAAAGAATAGTCTCTCAAAACTGTCTACTGGTTGCATGTTGAAACTTCCAGAAAAGCTAATCAATATGTTTAAATTTTCACTTCAAAGTTGTTAACATATATTCTTTCATATGCTCATTTTGAGCAATATATGATCTGTGTCATAATTAAATTATCCCTATTGCTTTTGTCAAATCTTTTCAGGCCTATAGCATGCACTAAGTATAACTAAATAGATCCTTTTGAAAATTGCTCCATGAAAGTACAATTCTGTGTGATATATTTATCTTGAGAAATGTGTTCTTCAGTCTTCAGTGATGGATAGTTGTTGTGTTTAAGTGCATCCAGTTTTAGTGGAGTACACTGCATAGTATCTGTCTCCTGTGTCATCTTCTACTCTTGTTATTTTAGAGCAATTGCCTTGTTCCCCTCTGGAGTTATTTATACTCCAGATTTTCTTTTCTGTGTGTTGCCCATTCACCTGTGCAGAGATAAGAGTAGTCCCAATAAAATGAAATGCATGTAATTTTGCTTTGTTTCCATCACATGGGTATATTAGACTCTTCATAAAAAAGTGAGTCCAAAATTTCACACTTGCTCTTATATCCTTGAATCTAAAGCAAAATAGTTACAATGATTAAAAGGAAAGTAACAAAAAGAAAGTAATAGAAAAAGTTCAAAGTACCCATAACTTTCTTCTATATATTATGTTTGAAAATGTTGGTATATGGAAGAAACCCATCCCTCTCTTCCAATAACAGAACTGTCGTGCTGTATTTCTAAATGTCCTCATGACTTGTACTTGGAAATTTGCCCTCTGAGGAAGTAAGGTACACAGAAGAGAGAATAGAAGTTTCACTCATTTATCCCTATACCCTCTCTAGACTCCCATGCAGTCCCTATTCGACCTTCACCTTATAGCATCCAACCTGCCTACTTACACTGATACTATTTTATTCTTCATTCATTTTGCCACCTGGTTCTCAAATCAGACTCTCTATCTGCCAGTTTAACAATCTCAGCTTCTATGAAAAGAGAATATTTCTTTAGATTACAATCCTGCACTGCATAACAATATTTGGGCCAATAACAGACCATACATATGATACTGGTCCTCATAAGATTTTATCACTTGGTGATGGTACAGCCATCGTCATTTGTGTAAATACACTTTGTGATATTCACACAATGATGGAAATCACCTACTGTCATTTTTTTCTCAGAATATGTTCCCTTCATTAAGCAGCACATGACTGTATTTTAAAACAAAAGAGGCTACGTGTGTAATTTAATGCTACACTGCTTGTCTATCATGTCTGAGACTCTGGGTTCTGCATTAGACAGACAGACAGATACTAGAGCCTTTATTTCCATCAACTGGATGGTAGTCTCGGACATTACAGAGAAACTGGTCAATGGGAATACAGTTTTACTGGGAGAAAGGGGAGATGAGACAAAAGTCCTTGTATCCCTTCTGCTTCCACCACCAGAACTCCTTCATGCCCCCAGGCTCCTCCACCATTCAAAAAAGGGGGAAAAATGTGTACTATAATAGGCACTAACCTACATAGATGTTAGCTAATGTATTTGTGTTATAAAGCAAAATGCTTTATAACCTTAAATGGACATTCTTTATTATTGGGAAAGCTGTTTACTGACTAGAATGACTTTTGTTTATCTGAAGTTGTATTTATAATTGTAGCCCCACTTCCCCCTAATTGTGGAAGAGGGAGGTACTTAATTATCATTGATTCTTTGTCTCAAAGGAAGGAGAATTCTGACCAGAGCTTAGGTGTTTAAGACCATATAAAAGCAATGTTGTTGCATTTCCAATTTGGCTAATAAATTGGCTTTAGAGAAATGCATCTTTTCATGTCACTTGGGAATAAAGTTTGTGATTTGCTGATGTTGGACAAGGTTGAAGTTTCATTATGATTAAATTTGATCTTTTAGCATATGATTAAATGCTATCTCAGATCAAAGGACTCCACCCTGCCCCCAGCTTTAGAAGGTTGGAAAGCTTTGGAGAGTTTGGAAAGTACATTGTAAAATAGAGCTTGAAGGTGAAAGGAGAAATAAATGAGTGTGGAGCCTGGATACTGGATAGATTATGCATTTCTTCTGTTTGCCTATTGAAAATTTTAGGGAAGTTGATTCTTTTCGTTGCCTGTTGTCAAGACAGCAGAGAGATGCTGAGGTCTCTGCTGTTTCAAGGAGAGAAACACTCAGTGACTATAAATGCATAGCCAGAAATTGAGTTTACACAACCCTAGGCATACAGATTAATCTAACTGACCTCTTCTAATTCTAATACAAGAAAGTGTTGTCAGGATCACTTTCCAGATCTACTATAACATTTTTTTTCTTACAGAAGTGAGAGTATTTGCATTCACATAGACCAGATAAGGTTTCCCTTAACTCTCACATACACCAGAGAAGAGAACTGTCTCTGCCCACATCTTTACCCAATGCTATTGAGACTTGGGAACCACATCTCATCCTGACTACTGATCAAATGCACTAGCATAGAGCTGAGAGCAGAAAACCAAAGGCCTTGAGCGAATGTAGAGTGCTGGGTACTGATGGTTCACACTTTGAATCCTAGCTGCTCAGGAGGCTAAGATCTGAAGATCAATGATCCAAAGTCAGCCCAGGCAGATACATCCTTTATCTCCAGTTCAGCTACAGCAAAAAAACTGGAAGTGGAGAAGATGTACCTCAAGTGGTACAGAATCAGCCTTGACTGAAAAAGCCAAGTAAGAGCTTAAGGCCCTGAGTTCAAGCCCTAATACCAGAATAAGAAAAAAAGAAGAAATAAAGATGGTGGAGTTCTAGTTTGCTGTACCCCTAAAGAGCAGGAGATAACCAGGATTCTGGAAGGAAAAGGAAGAATAGTGAAAGGGGATTTTGTGCTTTGAGTCATTTGTGATTTTCTGTTTTTGCAGTGGATCTTTTGAGCCTGTCAGCTGCATGTGATGCATTGGACCAGCACAATCTTAAGCAAAATGATCAGCCCATGGATATACTGCAGATCATTAATTGTTTGACCACTATTTATGATCGCCTGGAGCAAGAGCACAACAATTTGGTCAATGTCCCTCTCTGCGTGGATATGTGTCTTAACTGGCTGCTAAATGTTTATGATACGTAAGTACTGTAGGACTTTGTGTATGTGTGCGTGCTCACATGTATGTGTACAAACACGCATGTGCTATATCAGAGGGAATCTAGCTTACAGAACAGTGACAGTGTGATTAGCATGACAATAGGGCCACAGAAGCTATGGCCCTGTTTAGGTGATAAATCATTTGTGCATTTATGTGATTTGAAAATTCTTTTGATAAGCTAGGAGAGGTAAGAGATAGAACATTCTAAATTTGAAAACAAAACCCTGACATACTCATTTTTCAACTCGTAGAATGAATCAATGGGTATCCATGGTTCTTTCCTTCTCTCACCTGTGTATTTTGGAATTTCTCCATCTACTTTGGAGTGGTCTCTCTCATTGGCAGGAATAACTGTGCTCTTGGAGAGGCTGGCACACCTGTCACCAGATTAGAGTGGTCTTAGCAGATACCTGGTAGAATTTCACAGGAGAGAATGAACTGATAAGCCAAACAAAATGAAAATAAGCCCTTACTGCAGCAAACACATCTCTTCAAACCAAGGAAGATTATTTTGTGCTTTTTTTTTTTAATAAGGTTGTCCAAAGTTTTAGTTTAGCACTTCAGTTTGTATTCTCTCTTAGAGAACAGTTGCTTATTTCCTTTGGATTGCACACAGGAGATAGATCCAGTTCTAATTTTTGTCTTGAGCTTAATGAACACAATTGAGGAAGGAAGCCAATGGAATTGGTGTTGATTTTCACTGAATTCTTCTTAGACCTCAAAATTATTACATGCCTCATTTCACACATCAATGAGAACATATTCCCATTGGAAATCTGGGAAGATTTTACTGAAAGTAATTGCATATCTAGTTTGCCTTTGTTGTAGACTTCTGTCATCTCCTTCATTAAAATTTATGCTGTTTTCTTAGTTATTTTGATAAGGCATTGCTTTTTAAGTTTCAAGATCACCTGGCTATTGAAATGAAAATATGACTTCCATTCTACTTGCCTGAAAAAAATGATTGGGGAATCATTTTAGCTCCTTAAAGACCTGAGTTATTTGAGGGAAGTAGATAAGGAAATCTTATCTATAATGGTAGAATTCTGTTACTGTATTAGGTTCCAAGATCTTTCTTTAATTGAAAGATTTAGTTGTGTGTGTGGGGGGGAATTGTTTTTGTTTTTGTTTTGTTAGTCACTGGGCTTGAACCCCAGGCCTAGCCACTGCCCCTGAACTCTTTTTGCTCAAGGCTAGAGCTCTACCACTTTGAGCCACAGCTCCACTTTCGGTTTTCTGGTGGTTACTTGGAGATAAAAGTGGCAGAGACTTTCTTGCCCAGACTGGCTTTGAATTGTGATCCTCAGATCTCAGACTCCTGAGTAGCTAGGATTACAGGCGTGAGCCACCAATGCCCCCCTTCCCCTTTTGCCACACTTGGGCTTAAACTCAGGGCCTTGTGCTCTCACTTGTCTTTCTCTATTGAAGGTTTAGAGCTCTACCATTTTAGCCATACCTCTACTTCTGGCTTTGCTGATTAATTGGAGGCAAATTTCTCCCAGATTTTTCTGCCCAAGCTGGCTTTGAACCTCAGTCTTTAGATATTAGCTTTTTGAAAAGCTAGGGTAATGGGTGAGAGCCACCAGTGCCTAGCTTAGGATTTAGTAAATTTTACTTTTGAAAACTGAGCATATTGTTCACCCCAAATATCCATATCTAAGGTAAAGTTAATTTCTATAATAAAACAAAAAAACCTGGAGAATTATTGAAAGCCATTTTTCTACCAAATGGGAAGCTTTTCATTCTTATTTTTCCCCATTGGTAAAATAAGCTTGTGAGTAAATTTGTTATATGAAATGCTTGATTTCAGCTTTCTGTATAATAGAACATTGATATAGTAACAGGCTACTTATAAATTTCCCTTTTGGAACATATATTTGATTGTTCTCTAATAGTGTGCCATGAGCTTTTGGGATATAAATCTTTATATTTCATATTTTGTGGCTTATACCAGTGCACATGTACATGGGCACACGTGTACCAGTAGTGGAGCTTAAACTCAGGGTCTTGCACTCTGGATGGGCTTTTTCTGCTCACAGCTGGCACTCTACCACTTGAGCCATACTTCTAGTCCCAATTAATATTCTTAATAAGGGGAAATTTGATGAACATCTGTGAGTGGGTTAAGAGAACAGAGCAGTTTGTTAGTAATTTCAGGGGTTTTGTAACCAAAATAGAGGACTGTGGGCATAGCTCAAGTGGTTAAATGCCAGCTTAGGAAACATGAGGCCCTGAGTTCAAGCCCCAGTACTGCCTAAATAATTATATATTTGGTCAATATTGATTTAATCTAGTTCAAATTTGAAGTCATGAGCCAAATAGATCAACATATTCAGAAAAGTTCTCACTAATCTAACAAACAATGGTCAATTCACTTCCCATATCCAAGCTGTTTATTTCATCCCTCGGTGTTTTTAGCCTCTAGTAGAATGTAATTGTTTTGTTTTGATTCTTCCTAACAGGGGACGAACCGGGAGGATCCGTGTCCTGTCTTTTAAAACTGGCATCATTTCTCTGTGTAAAGCACATTTGGAAGACAAGTACAGATGTAAGTCATGTATATTAACTCTGTATTCTTTTATTGATGTTGGCTAATTACCCTAGTTCTAAACAGGAAATGACATACTGTTCTTGTTTGACAGCAGGTTTCTCATGTTAAGATGTAGAACTGCTTTTAAAGTGTCATAAAATTTGGTTTGTACTGTTCCTGTCACACATTAAATTGCAGGTATTTAAATCGAAAATGCGGATTAGCGTCTCCAGTCCGAGTATTATTTTATATTACATTGACTGTGTCGGAGTAAGACACATGTTTCTGGGGGATAAAGTCTGATTTGCCAACCCCTTTGTGTATGTCAGCTACATAAATGTGAAGGTTTAATCTCTGTATTTGCCTTGTCTTTGGATTCTTCTTTAAAGAATACTATCTGGCATTCATGCTCAAGGAACATTGTTTAGTTTATAATCACCTTACTGCAAGTTCCTTTGAAACATGCAATTCCTTGACGTGACTAACATTGTATTATTGGAGAGAGGGGTAGCTTGCTATGCTTAAATGGTACATACAGCCCTACACAATTTCCTTTTGGTTAGCTATTGGCTTCTTCTGCATAGAGAAGTATAAATCTTAATGAAAGGCAAATACTAGAGGACTAGGGCAGATGGCTTGGCTCAGTTGCCATCCATTCCCATTGTAAAGGGAGTACATTTTTCTCCTTTAAATGATCATAAGAAATATTTTCAGGTGGAACATTAAACAAGTCCAGCCTATCTTGTCTTTTCCTTGTCCCCTAAGGCTTAGCCACACACAGAGATGAGGAGATAAGCTAAGCTTAAGGACAAGCAAGAGACAAAAGAGATTAAATTTCTCCAAAGCCTTTCTGAGCCATAGCTCTCTTTTCTCCTCTAAGAATAAGCCAAAGAATACACAAACCATTTAAACTCTTACTTTTATGGAGTTTTGACTTGAACTTTTTTATCTTAAGAAAACAAAACAACCAAACAGCTTTCATTAACTTTTTAAAACTTATTTTGAATAAAGTGATATTTCTATGAGTTTAAATAGTATATTTACTGATTAGAAGTTACGTTTGTTCAGGAAGTGGCGCTGTAGCTCAAGTGGTAGAGTGCTCGCCTTGAGCTGAAGAGCTGAGGGACAGCGCCCAGGCCTAGAGTTCAAGCCCCACAGCCGACCAAAAAAAAAAAAGTTTGTTCAAAAGCCTGGAGTGCTGCCATGTTGTCCAGGCAGATCTGAAACTCCAAAGCTCCAGCAATCCTTCTGCCTCAGTTTCCCAAAAGTTAGTTTCTGATCAAATCACATCAGTAGCATAATACCATCATATTGTAAATTGACTGGTACTTATTATTTTTACAGTGTTAGTTTTGAGGTATTTCAGGCATTCACTAACAGGTAACATATTTTGAGGTTGGTAAAAACAAAAATAGTTAAATCAAAGCAAGATATGTTAAGGGACTGGGCATGGTAGTTCATGTCTTCTTGCCTGTAATCATAGCTATTGGGAGGCATGGGTAGGAAGATTGAGATCCAGGCCAGCCCTGGCAAAAAACATAAAACTTGATGTGAAAAATAACCAAAGAAGAGATAAGGATGTGGCTCAACAGTAGATTATCTGCCTACCAAGTATGAGTCCTTGATTTCAAAACTCAATACAGGGTAACATTGGCCCGAAAGAATTGTACTCATTACCTCACTTATGGAATGGTAATCCCACTGTACAACACCCTAATAATAACAATACAATTATATTTAAAAATTCAATATAGCTGAAAAAGAAGGGAAAAATTTAGGCATTTAAAAACACTTCATAAATACAAAAAAGCAGTGTGTTTTGGAGGTAAAAAGATGTGCACGTGGTTGCAGTTTTCTTATGACCATCTTAAAATCTTGTTAAAATATTTAAGTTCTTAACATTTGAAGTATGCTCATAGATAGGAAAGGATTTATTGAACTTATTTCTTATTGGCAACTTCCAGGTGAATATGAGGTAAGTTTGGTGATTTACACCTGTAATCTCAGCACTTGGAAAGCTAAGTAGGAGTTCTAGACCAGCCTAGGCTACATAGCTAGACTGTGTCAAACAAGGAAACAAACAAGTAAAAGGACAAGCACATTCCATCAATTACAGGATAATACAATAGAAGCTAGATGTATAAATACATGAATATATAAATAAGAAAAACATCCTGAGTGAGCGAGCACATGAATGGTGTGATCCGATGACTCCTTAAAGAAGTCCCAATTTTGCTACTTTTTTCAATCTCAAGGGATGGTGCTTTTGGCTAGTTGTGTGGCTCTTAGTGCTATAACTTTTATGGTCGTGTTTATAGTGTGTGTGTGTGTGTGTGTGTGTGTGTGTGTGTGTGTGTGTGTGTGTTTGTATATTATTTCCCAAAGGAGTATTTCTGCCTTAGAAAAATCTGTGTTAAGATTACATGTAAACTTGCATTTCCTACAGGGTTGTAGTTTATTTAAAATTTATCATACTTCATATATACATAGTGATGGAACATAGTCTATAAAAATATATCTGGATTAGCATGACTTAGAAATAAAGTCCTCAGTGGGAATGCTGATCACTCCTGAGAAATAGTACTGGAATTGACTTGGAACTTAGGTTCTCGTTGCTGTGATTTGGTGCTGTATTTGATCGTTGCAATTCTCTTCTTCCTTTTGCAGACCTTTTCAAGCAAGTGGCAAGTTCAACAGGATTTTGTGACCAGCGCAGACTGGGCCTCCTTCTGCATGATTCTATCCAAATTCCAAGACAACTGGGTGAAGTTGCATCCTTTGGGGGCAGTAACATTGAACCAAGTGTCAGGAGCTGTTTCCAGTTTGTAAGTTATTTACCTTTTTCTTTCTTTCTATCCAGTGTTACTGGGTGTCAAACCCAGGGTAGTTCCCTTGTTAGGCAAGTGCTCTACCACTGAGCACTTTTGCTTTACATCCCCAGTCTTGGTATTTTTTTGTGGTGAGTGGGACAGAAAGGGATATTTCTGAAGATGGAACTGACAGTCCCAAGCAAGTGCTCTGACCATTGAGCCACCCCTCCCCAGCTTACTCCAAAGTCATAATAATGATATCTTGACTTCTGTATTCTCTTAACAGCTTTTACAACACACTACCACTTAACGTTAGTTACTTTGCTTGTCACTTGGACAAAATTCCTGCGAGAACAACGGAAGGGAGGAATTAACTTATTTTGTTTTATGGTATTTTTGGTTCATGGTGTTAGATGGTTCAGTCCATGGTTGCTTGACCCCATACACTCAGGCAGAACTATCATATTAGTGGAAATGTTTGGCTGAAGAGTTTCTCCATGGCAGATGGGATGTGGAGAGGAATCTAGGAAGGGACCAGTGCAAGATACAGTCCTAATGACACACCTCCTCCATTTCCAGCCAGGTCTATCTCCTAATGTTTCCTAAACATTTTAAAATAGCACTACCAGCTGGAGACTAAGTTTTAACACATGAGCTTGGTGGGGGATATTTGTATTCAAATCCCAATACTGTGCTTGTCTAGTCTGTCTTGTCTTGTTCTGTTGCTTTTTCTCTGTCCTCTCTTTTCTATACCCTCTTCTTTCCAATGCCTGAGCACTCCCACTGATAGCCATTTAGGTTGTTTCTATTTTTTGGTAAGACAGGTAATGCTACAGTGAGCATCTTCGTGCTTTAGATCTTTTCTATGAAGTTTGTTTCTTAGGATAAATTTTCTAGGACTATAAAGTCCAGTCTAAAGGACATACATATTTTCATGGGTTTTGATACCTTTTACCAGATGGCTTTTCTTTAAAAAATTGCTTCTGATTGTAAAGCTGCTTGCCCTAAAAATAAGATATTTGCAGTACCACATTATTCCTAGCATTTTTATGCTTATTTTAAATGCTAAGAGCTTTGCTTCTTTTATAAAGTCCCTCAATCAGGTCTAATCCCATTTATGACTTAAGATTTGCAGAATGGAAGTAGCTATAGAAATGACTGTATTAGACCTGAATCTTTTCCTCAGAACAGAATGAACCATAGGAAGTTTTCTAGGTATAACCTTCTGAATAGATACATGGACAATCTGTTTACTTAATAGTTAATTGGGCAGATTCACTGTATGCAGATAAAATAAGCCCATGCATATACAGAGGTATATATTACTTGAATTATTTTGCCAAAATGATGGCAAATTATCTGCAAATATAAAAAAGATGTAGAGAAATAAATGCATTTCACCTCATATACAACCTGAAGCGTGAATAATACAGACTTTGAGTACCTAGATTTGAACTCACAGCCTTATGCCTGTGTAACTCCCTTGTTCTTGGCTAGCTCTCTATCACTTGCATCAGGTCTCCAGCACAGCTTTTTTCTAGTTGTTTTGGAGATGGGCATCTTGCAGACTTTTCTTCCAAGGTCAGCTTTGAACCTTGATCCTCTAGATCTCAGTCTCCTGAGCAGCTAGGATTACAGGCATGAGCCACCAGTATCTAGTGTGTGGATGAAATTTCTTACATGTTGTTAAATAAATATTGCTACTCCAGAATGTAAGCATAAGCAACTTTCATATTATATATATATGTATATTAATGGCCACAAATAACTGATCAATTTTGCTTTTTATATCTGATTATACAACTTGCAGTGACATGAGATTTGTTTTTTTCATTTACTCAAGTTGTAATTAGAGTTCTAATTGTAAAATATGCACACATATTCATGCATAAGTTTATATATACATATATATGCATGTATATGTGTGTGTATGTGTGTGTTGTATCTTCTAGGGTAAGAGCCAGAACACAAAACTGTTGAAAGTCATCTTAATTCACTGATGATCTCTGCTTCAAAGAACGCTGAGCTGTGTTTACAGCTGTCTAGGATCCTTTGTGACCTCTGATTCTACTGTAGTGATGTGTTAGGCAGCCATTGCCACTTCAGCTTCTGTTCTTGAATTTGGTTGTCAGGACAGGGGGCCTACTGGACACAGGAGGAGATAAATACATTTCACCTTTCCCTATCATAGATGCCCCCTCTTCCCTTACTCCATATCTCCTGCTTGGTTACTTCCTTGTTTCTGTAATAGCAACATTCTTTTCAGTATTAGCTTTGAACCCAGTCCATCTCACATATTTATCAAATTCCTCCCAGCTCTTGGAAATATCTTGTAAGAGACTTAGAAGTTGGTCAAGAGATGAACACTAGTAACAGATGTTTTCTTCTTTTCTTTCTACTGGTTTATATTTTCTGAATTTCCTTCATTGAATATTTATGAGTAGAAAAGAATTGTAAATGGCCATTGTTTTGGTTAAGGAAAAGAAGCATGTTCAATCTGATTCTTTGCCATTGACACTTCACTGGTTTCAGGTCTGCTCATCACATGAATATATCATTGCACTATTTGCCTTAGGATTCCTCCACACTAATACTCTTGCCCTTTTCTTTGCTCTCACTGCCCTGTTACTGGTTTATGTTACTTCCCATGTGACACCATCATTAAACATCTCTAGTTCCTTTCTATCATCTACTAAAGTAATCCCTAGTTTCTCTGGGTAGCCCTCAGACCTTCGCTAATCTGGTTTCATAACCACTTACTTTGAAGTATTACTTCCACTGTCACAAAACAGTTACCATTTACCATGATTATAAAGTCATGCCATTACTATTGTCACTTTCAAAACGTTGCTTTTGTTCACACGAACCCTTGCATTTCTTCCTTACCAATTCTGTGAGAAAAATAGACTTAGGTAGACTTTGAAGGTGGTGGTATTTGAACAATTTATCTTTGCCCTTAACTTCTCTCAGTGGGTGGCATACTTCGATTCACAGTTCACATTGGCCTCCTCAAATCGTTTCTGCTACTTCTACTTCCCAGCCTGGGACTTGGGTCCAGTAAGAGATGCCTTTGCAAAACAAAGAACATAGGACAGACAATAGGAGTTGAGGAAAAGAGACCTAAGTTAGAAGTGGCATCAGATGAGGCTTACATTACTTAGACTTAGGGAGCCTCTCCACCTGTAGTGATTTGCAGTCAGATTGAATGGCTCAGTTGTGAATGCTTACTTTTGAATGCACGTCCTGGCCCTAGTTTGCTTTTCCTTAGCCAGGTGCTCTGGCAGTCACCTTGCCTTTCATTGTGCAACGGGCATGAAAATACAATGTTTGCTGTAGGGAAAGATAACAGCAGTGAAAATGCCCTCTGCCCTCTGTTTGAAGTGTAAGACCTTGGGAATGGACCATACAGACTCAAAAGCAGCTTTTTCTACCAGTCCCAAGAAAGGGCAGTCAAGTACTTACTTTTCCTACAAATGCATTCATGCATTGATGCATTTCACAAGTTGACCTCGCACAATAGGCTTTTTCTTCCTCTGTTTCTCCTCACCAGCCAGGGAAAACTGTTTTTCAAGTTGCTACAGTCACAGAAGTACTGAAGTGTCTGATTCTGACAAGGGCAGGAAGAGAGGTATGTTTTGATGGGCCATGCTCTCAGGCTGATCTTTTCAAAGTTCTCACAATCCATATCCCTCCCCAATAACAACTTTAAAAACGGAATTGGGTAAGCCCAGCTACTTAGGAAGCTAAGATCTGAGGATTGCAGTTCAAAGCCAGTTCAGGCAGGAAAGTCTGTGAGACTCTTATCTCTAATTAACCACCAAAAAGCCACAAGTGGAGCTGTGGCTCAAGTGGTAGAACATTAATCTTGAGCCCAAAAAAGCTCAGGGGTAGCACCCAGGCCCTGAGTTCCTGTGCCTGTTTCTACTGGCACAAAAAAAAAAAAGAGAAAAATTCAAGATAGATTCTTCATTCATTCTACATGAGCCATCAGGCTAAGCAGTGGCATACTGCTGTGAATATGTGCACTGGGTAATCCACTTGTTTTGGTAGTGGCAGAAGAAACATTTTTAAACTTAGTTTGGTTTAGAAATACAGCTTCAACAAATGTTGTTGGTCAAAGGATGTGGGTGCTTTCTTCTTCGTGGCCCATAAAACTAGTACTGCAAAGAGAGTAGATTGATTTCTCTGAGTTCTTTCTGGTAGAAGCCAAACTTGCCCTGGCAATCAGTCACAGTCACATAGACTGCCCAAAGGAGCCTTTGGGATTATCCACATGTTTCCTTTTTCAGATGAGAAAATGAGGTCCAGGGAGACAGAATGAATATATTCTGTACCATGCAACTATACTGTTGTGCCTTTAACCTAACCAGTTCAGATACTACACTGAACTAAGTGTCAATATGTTAATGTCTGAATTTTACATTGAAAAGTGATGAAGTCTCTTCCCCCCAAACACACACACACACACACACACACACTTTTAATTTACAATAAATATTCTAACCTATTGTATAAAAAATATTTGAGGAGGAATATTAGAGGAGGTTTATTCAAAGTACATTAGCTATATCATAGAAATATCACAACGAAACCATTTTGTATACTTAATACATGCTAATAAAAACACTCTAATCCTATTTTCAAGTGTCTGGAATATTTTCAGATAAAACCAAGTAATACTAATGGGTAGAAACTATATTTTTAAGTGACTTCAGAAAAGAGTCATCTATCTGCAAATAGTATTTGGCAGAGCTCTGAGAAGGGTTCTCCCTTTCCACCAAGAGTCTTTCTAGTATTTTCTTCTGTTACCACTTTAAGGGCGTTATTATTTAGATAGAATTGAGTATACCAACTTTATATTCAATATGCTTCACCTACAAGAGCTACAGTGTCAAAATCTGTTTATTCTACATCTGTTTTCTGCCTCCTGTTGTATTCATGCATTCAAAATGAATACGTTGCTTTCATGTCTTCTGAATTTTTCTATTCACATGACAAAAATGAATATCATCTAT